GAAACGAAGAAACGACGAAACGACGAAACGATGCACGAGAAGACGAACTCTTTTACTCCCTCGGCGACTCTGCTAGTTACAGTCTTAATTACCATCGCGATTATCCCGAGTTTCGCTTTTTTCTCGCCACGCTCCGGGATCTTCCGCGAACGGCCGGCAAGGCAGGAAACGCTGATCGAAAACGGTGTTCGGTGAACGATTACGTAACGGTGTTAAAATAATTAGCGCGTATTACATAGCGTGGCGTTGCGCTCGTAATTAGCGGTCACCTCGTACGGAGCAGCTAGAACGAAACGCTGATCTCGATCAGGAATAATGCGCCACTCGCTGGCTGCGCTAGAGGCTACGCTCCGGTATTGTTCGCCGGAGAGCCCGGGCCTATCTCCGGAGTCCTCGAGATCGAACGCGACCGAGTAAGTTATAGAACAAAGTGGTAGAAACCGCATTCGTAAGGCGAAGGGTGGCGCACGATATCGATTGCGGCAGAGCACGAGGAACGCGCGTGAAACTACTGCCACGTCTGCTCGGACTGTGTAGGTACTTATCAATAGAACGGGAGGATTTATTAAACGGCCAGAGAGCTAGAGCCTTCCCTTTGCAGATTCAGTGTCGCGCAAATGCCGGCCAATTTAAAGCGTTCCGCATCGTTTCCTGTTTATAACATCCCCCACGTGGCCGTGTCGAAACGTCGTCGGTACAAGGACGCGCGTCTCGTTCCCGTTCGTCCTGAATATTACCATATCTAGGCTAGCACGGTGAATGCCGCGAAATTAACCGTGAATTTCTACGAAAGATTAATCCCTGCTCGTTTAAAAGGAGGAAGAATACGCGCGGAACGGTGAAACGAAGAAGACATCGCTCGTCAATGGGCCTGAATGAAAAGCGTCTATTTACGTGTCAGTGCGAAAGGACGGATTATCAGCGGGTCTGCTTAACAGCAGAGACTCGGGTACGCGGCGCGTACCATTCGAGGCTAAAGTGGGACGAGACGAGGCGATCATTTGCAGCACGCATGCTGTCGGACCCTCGAAAGTCGATAATTTGCTCGCTTAAGGATGCGCCGATGTACGAATCGTAGGGAGAGAAAAAATGTACGGCGCGAGCAACGGTATTAAAACAGGGATAAAAGTGGTTTCAGCGGTTACGTCGTGCTCGCCGTTGAAAACGCGGCTTCTGACCACGCCAAAACAATGATGTACCGTTACCGAACGCGGTTCTACGCCACCACGAATAAATAAATCTAACCTACTCGAGTATCCTCCGTCATCTGTTGCATCCTGCCACCGGCTCGGGCTTATTTATACTAGAGAAAACCTCGAAACGAGAAAACGTGCCACGAGATCCGCTGCATATTTTTTCACCGTCGATTTTCTAAGCGTGCTCGAGTTCCAAACGCGGTGCGCGCGATTCGCGAATATTAATAGAAATTACGAGAGGCACGCGCGAGCGCGCGAGCACGCTCGGCCGCGTCGTGTCGCGTTGTTTTTGCTATTGCTAGCACGTACCAGCATGCGTACGAATGGAACGGCAAATAGAGCAGATCAGCGAAGAATATCTATCGAAGCTGCACCGCTTATTGACGCCGCATCGCACCGCCGCGACGCGACGCGCCGCGTGGAAAGTCACGTTTACACTGCAATACGTACCCGTGCCTCCGCGCCGCGCTCCTCACATTCGCGTAACGATAACGACCGGGCCCGATGCTAATTTCGCATTATGATTTCATTCTCTCTAATTCCGCATTCGTTACCGCTAATTAGGAAGAACAAATTTGACCAATCAAACAGCCGCCCGTGGCTCCAGCTTAGACCTTTTCATCTACCGACTAATCGTTCCCTCGATTAGGTTATTAGAGGTCACGAATAAATTAGATCGAAACGGTAATATCGCACGGAAGTTATATATATTTTTGCCTCCACGGATACGCGAATGCTCGAAAAATACAAAGGCCTTTCTTTCTTTTTCTCTTTTCCAATTTTAAAATTCCACTTTATCCTTTTAACGCAAGGAATTCCGAGCTTTTGACCGCGAGCTGTATCTCCAGGCGCCGCGAACCGCGTGTTCGGTTCGAGTGGATCAAAGACTCGAGGATGTCTACGAAACGAGGAATTTTCGAGGGAATAAAGCAGAAATATTCCGATATCTTCCTCCGGGCCGGAAAAGGATAATTTACGTGACGTTTATTAAGTAGGCTGTTAGTAAAATTGAGTACGCCACCGACTCGTAAACCCGGCGACCTTATTTTCCAACTATTCGCTCGTGGTTCGTAGACCTTCCTACGCAATGCACGAACGTCCGTAGACGAATACTCGCTGCGCCACGTGCACGCGAACCTTCGTTACGTGCGACATCGCGAATATTTCGAGAAACAGGGTAACCGGAGTAACCGACTTTCGATTTATTTCCGATAATACCGAAGACGAGGATCGCATTCGTGGACGGGCACAAATGGGCAACTTCCGGTAAAATTCAACCGAGCATGTCTAAAGCCAGCCGGCCGGCCGGGGTACGATCTTCCGATAGGGTCCAACGCCATAAACGGACGCGCGTAGTTTCGGTGGAAATCGTGAATTTCGGTGAAAATTAAATTTCTCCGCCAAAAGGTCCAAAATTAACAGTTTCCATTGAATATTGGGACTCGGGTTTCGAACGAGGTTACAAAGTTGAGTAGGGAAAAAAGTAAGGACATCGGGCATGGAGAGTATAGTGATTGCGACGAAATCAAGTGTAAACAGAGCACGCGTGACTCGTTGGGAAAGCTCGGTGAAACACACGGATAAAACGAGAATATTGATCCGTTAGTCTGCACAAGATCGTTATCAGCGCGATGTTTCTGAAATATCGCTAGAACTGAGGACGGAGGAGCAGCGAAATGGATTAAACGGATATTAAAGAGAAAAACGCAGGGAGCAAGCGAAGAGAGAGTCACGCGATGCCAGGGCGCGCCTCGTCTTACGATTCACGCCGAAATGAATTGCTCGATATCCTCCGTCTTCGCCAAGATGTCTGCACGCCAGGAGTGATCCGCGTTAAAGGCGCAGCCGAGGGGAGACGATCACGAGAAAATTCTAATAAAGACGCATGGGAACTGGTTCGACGCGCAACGAGGCATACCGGTGCAGGACTTGGCGCATAATACCGCGACGCGTGTAACAGTTAATCGCATTATGTAGCAACGACGAGCAGAAATCACGGTTCATCGTTTCGCCAGCCTAATCACGCTGTCCTATCGCCCTACTACGCCGATGCACCGTTCCTACCTGAAAATATAGCTGTTGCGAAAGAAAATGGAGGAAATAGGAGGAAAAATAAAGGTATTAATCATTGAACGATCCGAGGGACAACGATCGATACACGATGGAAACCAGTAACATGGTCGATGAACGATAATGACGTATCGAGCAAGTGACTGGTTCGCTAATCTTTATGTACGTACATCCGCGAATGACAATATTAAAGATGCACTAGTCTAGTAAGCATGCGCTAGACAGAGAAAGATTGGGAATAAGACGAGAAGTTCGTGTACTGTAGAGTACGAGTGTTAAACTGTGTGTAGAGACCACGTGTTAGTAAACACGGTAATTTTCCCCGATATGAAAACAAAAGTTGAAACAAAACGCGCGCGTAGTTATCACGCGCTCTGTTATCGGAATTGGAAACGGAAATTTGTGAATTAAACGCGTGCACGGCAGCCAGCCGCAAACGTGGACGACACCGACGTTCGGTGTGCGAGAAGGGCAAATTCCACGAGGCGCAACAGCAGCACGTAACGTCAGGTGGCAATCGATCATGGGAGATATTCTTGGTAAGAAAGAATTCGTCGCGACATTGTGCGTTCAATTACTGGCCAATTACAAGCTGAGCACATTGTACCTCTTCGTGTAGCGTTCCGACTCCGTGGCCGACGTTCGAGTACCGTGATTGGAAATCTAACTCATGGACAACACGCGCGTACCACGGCAGCAGTGTAGGTGTTATAGACGAATCAGCCGGCAATAAATTCGCGGTAAGAGATAACGGTAATCTCGGGTGAGATTACTTCAGCGACGGTGCGAATTGCAAGGCCGTCGGCGTATGACCTTAATGAGTAACGAGCATAGCGCTTAGGCGGACACACGAGAACGAGCACGGTATTCTGTCTGCTCGCACGTACTTACTACACACTGTACGAAGGGTGTCGTGCAACCGAATGTGCACGTAGCCTGTCAAAAGGTGGCATGTTTGGCACTGATCGAAATTGACGTCACGTTGACAGACACGTTCCTGTCAACGTAACGTAGGTTAACTAGTCGTAAATACCACGAATATTGCCAGAGACACGGAAAACAGGCCCGATTCGTTGGTATATTCACGTCGATTTTCGCGATCATTCCTCCTCGACACCGTGCGTGCAGATGGCGTGATTTTTATAGCAATTACGGATCATATCGCTAGTCCGAGATTATCAACGTATTCGCCGTATATAGAGCTTCTATTCTAAACGATAATCACCAAAAGTAAATCGAACAACTGTAATAAATACCTCGCTTTTCGACGAGCTCCGAAATCTCCTCCTTGTTGTCGGCCATCTTAGCACCAGTCACTGTTCACAATGCACGCTGGGTAAAAACAAACGAGCACCACCACGACACCACGATTGGTGGTTCAGCGCCACCTGTACGTCGAATTAGAAGTCAGCCAGCCGGTGACGTTGATCAGGGATGTATCGCATCTGAAACAACAAAGGTACCAATTTCGATTATTTGAATCGTTTATTTGAATAAAGAAATAAAATTCTAGATATTTCTACCAAAATGGTTCCAATGTAAATCCTGGTTACATTTTTAAGACGAACAAATATATGAAAAAACTTTCCACGAGTCATACGCGGAACTATCCACGAAAGAATGCGCCTACATTTCGTGTGACATACTTTCGTTAAGCCGTTACTGGCATGTGTCGCTAGCACCTCGGTAGGTACTTATTTCCGTTACATAGGTTCGTGGCGGTAGTCTTCGTTCGGTTTTCCATACGTTTAGACGTGATTTTTTACAAATTTTCAACATGAGTAAAAGTGAAGTTGTCATTGTATCAGCAGTCAGAACACCCATAGGTATAAATCTCTATTTTATTAAATTTAAACAGTGCAGCGAAAGAAAATAATAAATTTCGCTCTAAACTATACTACTAATCAAATTTTAAATGACATCGTATAAATAATAAAATATTTAATTAACAGTAATTGTTATATTAAACATAATAATAATTTTTTTTATTAAAAACTTATTTCTTCTGTGTATTCTTTCTCCCATTTTAACTATTTTACTACAAATTAAATATTTTTTAATTTATAAATACGTTATACATCTACATAGCTATATCCAAGTTATATATCGTCATTTTTAAAACGATATTTAATTTAAAATAAAAATATTTTATACAAATTATATGCATGCTGAACTACTGATTCTTATATCACAATTCTGAAACACCCATAATTAATAGAATTTTAATTATTCCATATTTTCTTCTTACTATATCAAATATTTATTATTATTAGGATCTTTTTGTGGTACTTTATCTGCATTAAAAGCATCGGATTTAGGAAGTATAGTTATTCAAGAAAGTCTTGCAAGGGCTCATATTAAACCTGAAGATGTTTCTGAAGTTATATTAGGGCAGGTAATATTCGATTATAAATTGCTTCTACGTGTAACTTATGTAATAATGTATTCCAAATAAATTTGTACTTACATTCTTTGTTCAAATATTAATTTAACGGGTAATCTGTTATAATATTTAATATATTATTTATTATAGGTATTAACTGCAGGGCAAGGACAAAATCCAGCAAGACAAGCAGCAATGGCAGCTGGCATTCCTAAGTCTGTTCCTGCTTATTTAATTAATATGCTCTGTGGTTCTGGATTGAAGTAAATATAAACTTTAATCTTGACATTTTTTCAATTATTTAACATACTCGGTTAAAATTTAAATTCGTTTGGATATTGTTATTCTAAATATGTTTTATAAAAAAAATATATATTTTTAGAGCAGTAATGAATGGTTATATGTCTATAAAAGCTGAAGAAAGCCAAATAGTTGTAGCTGGTGGCCAGGAAAGTATGAGTCAAAGTCCACATGTATTGTGCCTTAGAAATGGTGTCAAAATAGGAAATTCTAGTTTAATAGATACTTTAGTCTTCGATGGTTTGACTGATGCATTTCATGATATTCATATGGGAATAACAGGTATAAGAATTGTAATTAGTACTCCTCCTTTTTACATAAAAATTCTTTTATTACGCTTGTATATAATCTTTTATATGTATATAGCTGAAAATGTATCTAAAGACTTTAATATAAGTAGAAAAGAACAAGACGTGTATGCACTTACATCTCAACAAAAAGTGAAAGCTGCAATGACTGCAGGCTACTTTGACAAAGAAATCGTCCCCGTAAAAACGTCTACTAACAACAAACTTATTACTCTGGAGAAAGATGAATATCCTAAGTTTAAAATGACTATGGAATATCTTCAAAAATTAAAACCTGCTTTTCTAGAAGTATGATTAGTCACATATTTGATTTATAAATCAAAGTACTTAATCTTATAGCAGTGATATATTATTAGGCTGAAGGTACAGTTACAGCTGGTAACTCTTCTGGCATCAATGATGGAGCAGCAGCAGTAGTTCTTATGTCAGCAGAGATTGCTGCGCAAAGAGGACTTTCTCCATTAGCTAAAATTGTTGCAATGGCTCAAGTTGGAATGGAACCAAGAGTTATGGGTATAGGCCCTATACCAGCAATTGAATTAGTGGTTAGTATAACAAAATTTACTAACTACTTAAACAGCAATGCAATAAAGAATCGATATTTTAGTTGCAAAAAGCAAAATGGACAAAAGAAGAAGTAGATTTATACGAAGTGAATGAAGCTTTTGCTTCACAGTCGATAGCTTGTATAAGAACTCTTGATCTAGATCCTAATAAAGTTAATATAAATGGAGGAGCTATTGCATTAGGCCATCCTATTGGTGCATCTGGTAAGCATCTGACTAATGTCATAATCACCAAATATACTATGTATGCACAGTACCATTATTACACTTTGATATATCCTGTTTCAGGTGCCAGAGTATTAGTAACTTTATTACATTCCTTAGAAAGGATTGATGGAAACAAAGGTGTTGCATCTTTATGTATCGGTGGAGGGATGGGAATAGCAATTGCTGTTCAAAGAAAATAACAAACACTTCACCCAATTAGGTATTATTTATACAGTAAAGATAACACTTTTTTGGTAGTGGTGCATTGTTATTTTATGACGTAATATGTGAACATATCACATATGATTTCTTTTATATGCTTGAATCATGAAAAGATTATGCTTTTATTACAAATCTATTAAAAATTATTAAACATTTTTATATTATTATAATAAAGACTAATCAATGTTGTTATAAACAAAAAAATATAAAGAAATATGGTAGTATGTTGAAAACATATACAAACAACAACATTTATTTTATGTTATTACAACAAAATGTTAACACAAATACAATTGAATAAATTTATTTTATTTAGATTTATTTAGATACCAGTTTTTTATAATTGTACTTACAATTTATATAAAGTAATCACTTCTATATGAAACGTGTACAATATTTTGTGCAATGCATGTTTATACAGAAATTATTTTTGTCCACAAAATATCAAGTTGTAAATAAATGTATTGTAAGATTATCAGTTTGTTATCAGTTACTTTCCAATTTGTTTCATTTTTGTTTCAACTTTGTTCTGTTCTTTTTCTATCTTTTAAAATTTTCTCCACTGCTGCTAACCCTTCTCGTTGCCTTTGTTCAGTGCGTTTTGTTTTAAATGTACGCTTAGTATGTGTTAAATCCTTTTTGTGTCCTAGCAAATGTTGCAACTGTTCCTTGATAGCTGGTATTATACGTATCTTAAATTAAGAATACATTATAAATATTGTAATAACATATCACATTATGTAAGTTTGTTAACGCAAAACTTAACAATACAGCCCTTATGTAACAGTTAGTAAAAGACATGTGTTTATCACTGTTGACAATCTATAAATTTAAAATGCTGATATACTAAGTGGTATTGCAGGATAATATCCATCGTATTTCTTTCCATCTTTACTAAAACATAAGTAAGATTCTTCTAATGGATGTTGAGCTATTAAATCTATTTCAGGTATACAAAGTTTTGAATATTTTTTTATAACATATCCCCATAAGGAGTCTATATTAGTTTTGGAATCTTTTAAACAGAAATATGATCCCCAAAATGTTGAATTTAATACTTTTTCATCTGGATGTGATAATCTTTGGTGAACCATTCCTTCAGACATTTGTTCCTCAATTACAGCCACTGTATCACATTGTACATATGAATTTGGTACATAAATATCTTGCAAGAGATTATCACCAATATATACACAACGAGGGTTTTGCTTTTCAGATACACGTTTAAAAAAGTCAACGAGTCCTTCCCAATTACCTTGACTATATAAACCACCTCGTTTTAAATCTTTGCTCTCTATAGTATTAAGCTCTTCGTAATTTACAATTTCAAAAAATGGACGCTTCTCAGTAAAAAAGCTAGGTTTCTTTGCATAACAAATAATAATATCAAATAGAGATCTCCAATTTTTTCCAAGAGCATAAGTTGCAGTAAAATCAACAAAATCACTATTTGATCCAGTTATAAGGAAAACAATACGATGTTTTTTCAGTTCTTGAAGCCAAGCTATAGTTTTTTTAGTACATTTATACAAATACTTATGAGGGTTCTCTTTCAGGCTTGGAAAAAAATGACCTGTTTCTAATTTAAAATTATCTCTGTTGTACATTTCAATCAATCCATCTAATATATCAGGCCAAACATTATATTCATTCAAAGGACTTTCTTGTTTCAAATCAAGAGTATCTATTAATCTTCCAAAAATAAGAGATGTAGAAATATCAAAATAATCTAACAAACTCCTCATTTTTATTGATAAAGGACCATTCCATGTAGACAACATATCATTGCAAAAAGTATCTGTAACCTCCCATCTTTGCTCAGGGTATATCTCTTTAATCTTTTCTATGCTTAATAAATTAGTTCCATGACATGCTCTTTGAATTATACCATCGGCACTTGTTCTAAGTATATTGCCTCTTTCAAAATCTAAAAATAACCCTCTTTGCATAAAATCTAAATCTTTATCTTCCAATGGTTTTGATAGATATTTGGAGTCATATCCCTTTTCTGTTATTAAATAATTAGCTAAAGTTTCATATATCAAGTGCACTATGTTTGTTATATTGTAACGTAAAATTGTATGATCTAAATCAAATCCTATGCAATCATAATCAAGAAACTTAAATGCACTCATGTTGACTTGCGTGGATACAGTAATTGATGCTTTTGTATTATAATATTTCGAATTTATACATATTCGAGGATGCGTAAGAAATTGTAACTTGTTACTAATTGTATAGCTTAAAATATCCTTCACTTTTAAACATATTGTCGATGATTTATAAAATGAATGTCTTATCATTTCTCAATTTAATCGTGTATATCTTCATCTAGCACACACATTTAACACATTGTACACATACATACACTTTATTAAAAAATAAACAATGTTTACAATAGCTTAAGTCGTTAGTTTCATATGCTTTATATTTCACTTAATCAATATATAAGCAACCTATGAATTCAAAAATACCTAGACAACTGATAATATACCCGCAGCAAAATTATCTTTTCATAACACTTTATCCCGTAAAAATATTCATATAATATTTTAGACAACAATAAGCTTAATAAGTTTAAAATAGAATAAGTTTAAATAGAAATAATGTATGACGTATATATAACATTTGAAGAAAGATGAAGTTTAAGTACATTCATCATTCAAAATTATTATCAAGGATTCAAGAATAGATACAGGAATTTGCTAAAGAAATTATAATAACAGGTATATTTTAAAATTACTTACTTTTGCTGGAATATGAACAAAGCGGATATTTCTTGCTTGCACAAAAAACATGTCGTAACTGTACGAGTCCCCTCTAGGATCTACGAAGACGCAATCTTTCATTACGATATTCATGTAACTAGAAAAAAAGCAATTTTATACACGTATATACAACGTTACGTCAACAATGATAACACACAAGTGAAAATTACTTACGCATCTGCGTGTTCTACAATGCCATAAACGGATGCTTCATTTCGAAGATCTATAGTCGTATATTCATTTTCGATAGCTTTCAATAGAATTGCTAGACTATTGAAATAGAAATATCGTTCTTCTTTCGATTCACGAGTCATAATAGCACAGACATACGTGCATAATAATACCGGCAAATATTTACAAGGATAATTACGTGCCACAAGAGTAGCCAATAGTAGAAACGCAATAAAAAATAACTATAACCTTCAAATACAATTAGTGACAAAATTATTAAATATTGGCAAAAGTCCTTAAATTTGGAATTAATGAAGAAATATTTATAAACTTTTTAATTACAATAAGTCTATATTGTTATAAATGAATACATGTAACAAAAAATTTATTTATATTTATTGTAACGTAAATGCGTAATACTGTATTATTATTTACTACTTTGTGAAAATTTATGTGTATATTATTATAGTCAAGTACCATAAACAATATAGATATTTTCAATTATTCGTTTCAAACACACACTTTTCTGATAATTCCATCACGTACACATACCATCTTCTATACCATGAGAACGCTGTTAGTGGTAGTGTACTGAGTTTATTTCGTGTGCAACTCCAGCTTTATTAAATATATCGCTTTTCGTAAGAGTTGCGTCATTTATCTGAAATAAAAAAGTATATTTCATCAAAATTTTGCAATCTTTATTAAATTACTACAAAGTAATTACCAGAATTCAGTTATCTTTTTTCACTATGTTTAGCGGATTTCCTTTAGTTCTCTTACGGTATATTGCACATCTAGCACAAAACTTTCAGCAAGCAACATATTATTCACGATATGATTTTGCAGTGTCTAAAAAGGAACAACGATAATTATTTTAGACTAAATTAGTTAATTTATGCGTAAAAGTAACATTACTTTTGTTAAATAATTCCTGTCTTCTAATAATTTTTGAAGCTTGTCACTTCCGAGTTGTCTGAATGCTTCATATATTTGTGGTTAAATGCTTTTAATTCTTTCCATTGCATTTAACCAAATACTGTAACAAACTTTTATTTATGTTTCTTATTTTCTTCGAATTTTTTCAAATGGAAAATCAATTACTTAAAATTGCTGTTGCATTGTGCTTACATCAGATTCCGAAATTATATTTGGCATGCACACAGGCTGTGTTACGATATGATGAGCAATTAATGCTATGTAAAATAATACATTATAGAAATGAAAATATACATAAATATATTCACAATAATTCGATTACCATTTAATACAGTCGGATTTTGCAACATATCGGCCAAATACTTTTCAGGAATATGATGGAAAGCTTCATTGGTGGGCGTAAAAATAGTACCCGGAATATCGCTGAATTTAATTCTGTTTCCCAGTTCGCTGTTCTCTATGGCTTTGATAAGTATTTCAAATCGGCCGTCTCTAGCAGCAAGTTCAATTATGTCTGAATTTTGGGCCAATGCAAGATCCAAAACTCCGTCGATGACGTGCACGACTCCATTAGTAACAATTTGATCCTTGCGAATAATTCGATGGCAATTCACCGTTTCCATCTACATAGAGTACGACGTTTAGCAAATAATTTGCCTAAGCTTCTGCGATTCAATATGCTACTCACTCCACTGGAAAATTTATCGATTCTCAGAACGTTCCCTTATAATCGTGACGGTATTAAAAGATTCGCTTGCCACTGATTTGATAATACACGTCTGTCTATTATATGATTCGCTAGTAACTTTATGTATCTGTTACCATCGTGTAATGTTTTTTGACGAATACCTTTTACTTTTAAATAATTCCGAAAAGCAGATCGATTAAATAGTAGCTGAAATTGTTAGGTACATGTACGTTACTTCACGTAAAACGTACGCGAAAGGCATCGTCGGATAGAACGAATAAAGTTAAAGATGGTCCACCCGTTAATTTTTCTGCAAAGTTTGAACTTTCGATCAATTTTGCAAATTTCGTCGCACCTATTCGTCGCATTGTTTCTATCAGATTTATTAATGGCTTTACTGAAAAAAAGAAAAAAGAGATAAAAGCATGATCAAAGAGATGGAAACAAATGTAAGATACAATATGGTTGCATTTACAACCTCCTGTACATCCAGGTCGATCATTAACTCAGTAATATTCTGCACAGCATTTGTATCTCACAAATCTGCAAGGTAAATAAAAGCACGTTTTGCAAAATGGAAGTCTGTATTCAAATAGACATAGACATAGAGTTAAAAGCAACGCGCAATTAAGCTTACGTAGTCCTCCCACAGATTGTTCGAAGATTCCACTGTTTACTTCCGGTATAATAAGCGTAATTTATATCGTCGTTTACTTTAACAGCGCACACATTAGGTCTGTGGCAGATAAAGATATAAAATTACCTCACACGTATTCATTATTAATTCATATCTTAAAATAAACGCGTATTTACAAATTAGTGCACACAATTACGTAAGTTTCACCGCTGTTTCTGCGCATTCTCTATATTTAACCAAGAACTTCGGTGGTAGATGTAAACTACGTTAAATACCGCCAGTAATACAAATATTTTAGTTATAATTTCACTAGACATGTTTTCCCTACGATGAAATGAAAAGACTCCGACTGTGATGTTCCTTTGGACACGAGGAGGATTCGAGAATGATTCGGTCTGGAACGATTCTTATTTTAAGGGCTACCATCCACCCACCCCATCTTGAAAATATGTCTGGTAAAATGGATATCGATGTTATCTGCTAGAATTGGCATTAATAGGTACAATAAATGCAACACGTCATGTTATAAATCACATTTTTCGCAAATCATTTCCATTCAGAAGTTGCACTTTGCACGTGTACAGAATCGCATTGTAACGAGTTACGTATCAACATGTAACCTGAGATGTAGATTGAGGTGTAAATTTCGAATAAGGAAAACCAAACTGACCTTAAGTTGTCTCTGATATTTATACTATGATATCGTCTTTAACACCGAAGTTTCTGTGCAAGGTTATCTGTGTTCAGGCACCATTGTTACACGGTATAAGCAATAAAATATAACAGATGACTTATTCGCGTATTGCATATCTGCACGATTCACCGTGAACCGGATATTACTTTGCATATAGTCGATTATAGTCATCATTACTGGAGAAATTGAGTTATTTCTCACCGGACATACAACGGGGTACCTACATGCACAGCATTTGTATCTCACAAATCTGCAAGGTAAATAAAAGCACGTTTTGCAAAATGGAAGTCTGTATTCAAATAGACATAGACATAGAGTTAAAAGCAACGCGCAATTAAGCTTACGTAGTCCTCCCACAGATTGTTCGAAGATTCCACTGTTTACTTCCGGTATAATAAGCGTAATTTATATCGTCGTTTACTTTAACAGCGCACACATTAGGTCTGTGGCAGATAAAGATATAAAATTACCTCACACGTATTCATTATTAATTCATATCTTAAAATAAACGCGTATTTACAAATTAGTGCACACAATTACGTAAGTTTCACCGCTGTTTCTGCGCATTCTCTATATTTAACCAAGAACTTCGGTGGTAGATGTAAACTACGTTAAATACCGCCAGTAATACAAATATTTTAGTTATAATTTCACTAGACATGTTTTCCCTACGATGAAATGAAAAGACTCCGACTGTGATGTTCCTTTGGACACGAGGAGGATTCGAGAATGATTCGGTCTGGAACGATTCTTATTTTAAGGGCTACCATCCACCCACCCCATCTTGAAAATATGTCTGGTAAAATGGATATCGATGTTATCTGCTAGAATTGGCATTAATAGGTACAATAAATGCAACACGTCATGTTATAAATCACATTTTTCGCAAATCATTTCCATTCAGAAGTTGCACTTTGCACGTGTACAGAATCGCATTGTAACGAGTTACGTATCAACATGTAACCTGAGATGTAGATTGAGGTGTAAATTTCGAATAAGGAAAACCAAACTGACCTTAAGTTGTCTCTGATATTTATACTATGATATCGTCTTTAACACCGAAGTTTCTGTGCAAGGTTATCTGTGTTCAGGCACCATTGTTACACGGTATAAGCAATAAAATATAACAGATGACTTATTCGCGTATTGCATATCTGCACGATTCACCGTGAACCGGATATTACTTTGCATATAGTCGATTATAGTCATCATTACTGGAGAAATTGAGTTATTTCTCACCGGACATACAACGGGGTACCTACGAATTGACCTATATTCGGTACGCTTTCAAAATAATCCATCATGAATGCTCCAATTTGGATTTACATTTCCAATGTTAGTAATCGCTACAAAATACACCAGATTCCAATTAATTTTGAATCTCGTATCGTGTTTCGACATGGATATACATGATCTATTTTATGGTCCATTTATTAACAGAAACTCGTGTTAGCGCGATCACGTAGTTTGCATCGATGCAATTTTCACGTTTCCGTGAATCGAGGCAACGAAAATACGGAAATATTTGTTAAAATATCAACGAAGGCAGATAAATGTGCTGCATCTATTTGCCTGGATATAATCCTACTTTATTTTCCTGGCTAACATTATAATACAGACTGTTACAACACGAGTCGCTGTCTTTAATTCGATCTTCAAAGTTAACGAGTCTTTCAAGTGGCACGTGTACGTGATAAGTATCGTTCACACCTACAATAATGCAGTTTTTCTCAAGCGTATTTCAGTATTATGTTTCTAACATGAAACTGTAGAAGAAGAAGTACCTCTTAACGAGCTAATAAAAATCTGATTTAAATACATCTTATTACGTAGAAATTGTTGGTGCTGCTAAATTGAATTCTCCTTGTACGTGTGTCGTGGACTCATTGCGTCTGCAAGGCATCGTCGTTCATCTAGTGTATATAACGGGTGGACAAGAAGATTAAATTTAACCAATTTCAGTGATTCAGCTGATTGAATGCTGACTTACGTGGCAGGTCGCCTGATGTCGGCCGGAATACTACTTTAACCCGACCTGACCTACATCAATGTTGCCTAATTAGGTTAAGTTGGGCCAGATCAGTATTCCGGCCTCCATTAGACGGTCGCCCACGAAAACCGCACATTGACTTTTATTTCCAGCCACTCGTTGTACGCATTCAACGATTTTCGTAAACAAGTAATGCCGGAAATTAAAGCCGAGCGACAATTGTATTGTCGTTCAGAATCTACAGAATATACTGAAAAATTATCAAAATTGGTGGTCTACGTATTCCGCAATTTTAAAAAATTTTGTTTCTGATATGCCTCCTGTTAACGTTAAAGTTGAGCCGTTCCTTTAAGAAAAATGAATTGATTTAGGGCAAAATCGTTAAAGTAAGCATTCACCCATTTCACGCGTGTACGAGGAGGAAATGTAAAGAAAGTTGCGAAGCTATCGTATGTCTGAAGATTGCATAAGACGAAACACGGTAACCGTTTCTAAGGGGGTTGTACGTGAAGGGATGAACAGTTGAAATTCTCCATTTAGAACAATTTAGCCGATGCCCTTCTGCTTATTCAGTGCCGTGCGACCCGTTGTGATGAGTGCCCTCTTCCTGTAGCCAACTATCTCTGTTCCTCTCCGACCTGTCTACCTTCACTCTTACGATGTTCACCCTCTGGCCACGCACGAGCTCTAATCAGCTTCCTGTATGGGGCACATTATCTACGTGATGGCAGATCGTAACGACGCGATACCTAGCCAAGTCCCAAGTATTCGATCATGCGGTAGTCACTCGGTAAACCATTGCGCGTAAAACAGCTGTCAAGATTCATGGTTACGAATGCCATTTAGCTCGTTACACGATTCCGACGTATTGGTGCAGTGATCCTGAAACGATACATCAACTATCAAGGATTCTAGTGCTACCCGGTACAGGAAATCTACTCCTCCGTGATCTGACACAGTGTTCCTTTTCCCATTATGCCATTTAGTAGTGGCACTGTAGCCTTGGCTAATTGAAAACCGAAATCTAGGAAGACTTCGCGTCGTCCACGTGCAGAACACGGAGTCACTTTTCGATTAAAGGAAATTCATATAGCGACGATCCCAAATTTGTAAACGCTGATGCCAGAGTGGTGAAAGCCGCGAGATGAACGAGTACGAGTTCTCCGCGATCTTCCTCATGCACAGAGTAACAGTGTTGAAGAAATCTTAAAGCGGCGTGTTATCAAATCGACCACAATGTCGCTTGGGCAAAATATATCTGGGGCCGTCGTGGCCCTCAGAGACACTCCGGAAGTTAAAGAGCCCCAAACGTAAGATTTATGAACGTGCACATTTTTCTAGACTAATTTTTCTACCTAGAGTAATTTCTAGGTCATGTTCCGACGAGATCGAGAAGATTATCACTGTGGACGAAGAAAAAGTTTGTCATCAGGCGACGCCGCTCGACAAATTACAGCTAGTTAGTTGTACACACATCCTCTTTTTTTCCCAACAATTGTTCCGCCATATATTTTATTCGCATCGCGTTTGGACATGAACGTAGGTAGTGGATTGGATGGGAGAGAATCTGCTTTTGGTATTTACGACCGCTGGAGCATTCATGGGTCTGATTCTTGGACTTCTTTGTCGATTAGCCAATCCATCGCCACAGACCATTACACTCGTCAGCTTCCCCGGAGAGCTTCTCATGCGGTTATTGAAGATGTTCATATTACCACTAATTATTTCGTCGCTTATCTCCGGTGATTGTGCAACAGCCTATAAAGCAACGCAATCAGCTGGTCTCTAAGTTTCCCTTTTGTAGGAATGGCACGATTAGACCCTAAGAGTTCGGGAATGATGGGATTCAGAGCATTGATATATTACATCGTAACGACCATTCTTGCGGCCATAGTTGGCATCGTAATGGTACTGATGATCCATCCCGGCGATTCCAGCCTAAAAACCACAATATTCGTATCCAAAATAGACTACGTAAAAGTTTCTACGATAGACGCTGTCCTCGACATAATTAGGTACGTGAAATACGTAAAGAATCGTAACAAGCATCATCGACGGATGCCATTTCTAGAAACATGGTGCCGGAAAATTTGGTGCAAGCATGCTTCCAGCAGGCGCAGACCACTTATGTGTCGAAGGACGTGGTGGCCATAGGGAGTACGAATAAAAATAATTCAGTCCTAGTGGCAGAGGTAGTGTACAAGGATGGAACGAACGTGATGGGTATAATAGTGTTCTGTATCACGTTCGGCCTTCTCGCTGGGCAGATTGGTCCTCGAGGAAAATTGATGGTCGATTTCTTCGTGGTTCTCAACGAAATAATCATGAAGCTCGTCAGTATCATTGTGATGTGGTGAGCGATCAGGATACAACTTGATTTCGTGCTTGGTAGTGTTTGCTGCTTGCTGCTTGTCCGATTTGTAATTCGACGTGAAAAAAAGAGAGCGTGGGTTCGAGTTTTAATGTCATGCAGGTACGCGCCAATCGGAATCATGTGTCTGATAGCTGGTAAAATAATGTCAATCAACAATTTGGGGGCAACTGCTCAAACGTTGGGCCTTTACGTGGTGACGGTCATATTGGGCTTATCAATTCACGGTATACTCACTCTGCCAACTATGTATTGGTTGTTAACCCGTCAAAATCCTGGCACCTTCTTCAGAGGTATGATGCAAGCTTGGGTTACAGCTTTGGGGACAGCATCAAGGTAGCAGTTGATGTGTTTTCTTTGCAAATATCTCTGCATTTCTGCAAATGATTTTACTTTTTAATGCTGATAGCGCCGCAACTTTACCTGTAACTTTCCGATGTCTCGAAGAAAACAATAAAATCGATCCACGTGTAACGCGTTTCATAGTATCAGTCGGGGCTACGGTAAACATGGATGGGACGGCTCTTTATGAAGCGGTAGCTGCGATTTTTATTGCCCAAATGAATGGGATATCGCTAGGACTAGGTGAAGTCATAACAGTCAGGTTTGTATGATCGATGTCACACGAGCATATACTAGTCTATTAATTATTTATGGTTCTCCTTCACCTATATAGCCTCACAGCTACCTTGGCCAGCATTGGGGCAGCTAGTATTCCCGGCGCCGCTTTGATTACGATGTTTATAGTGCTCACAGCTTTGGGTCTACCAACGGACGATGTTCCTCTATTATTTGCCGTTGATTGGTTATTGTGAGTTCATTGTTTAAACTGGAGCAACGGTGAATAAATTGAATAATATATTTTCTCGCTTAAAGGGACCGATTTAGGACTTCGATCAACGTTTTGGGCGATGGATATGGGGCAGGAATAGTTTATTATTTAAGCAAAGATGAATTGGAGAAGATGGATCAAGAAAGAAAATTGGAGGGTCTTGAAATGGGAACACATTATGAGAACATTTCGGATGGTTGTCAGCGCGAGAACACACCTGCATCCGGTGAATGTTCCGAGACGAAGATTTGATTCGTAAAAGTATCGATCCTTTTTCGTGGCCTTTCTTTGGCTCCTTACTTGGTAACGAAAGAGAAAGCTGTGTTCACTCACACGTTCAATTAAATTATCACGATGGTATTCAGTAGAATTAATAAAAATAAAAAATTTCATCTCTTCACTGCCAATGAAGTTGCGGTATTCTGAACAAATGAAAATCTTCGATAGGTTACAAATTTGTTAAAGATGTTTAAGAAACTATTGTGGGATAATCGTGAAATATCGGTATACCAGAATGTAACAAAAATGTAAGCATGTTAAGTACAAAGCAATATCATCGTAAACCGTTTTCTTGCGGTATGCTACAATACTTTAAGTACTGATAAGGTTTAATGTACAGAGGAAATGTACAGAGAAGACATATGCTTTACGTTCCAATTTGAATGTTTAATAGATTATAAGATTATATATGTGTAATTATTTTAATAGTTAATGTATTCATTTTAATAGCCAAATAAAATATTTTATCTTAACAATGTTATAAACTTTTGAAAATCTGTATTTAGTAAATTGTTATTATATTAGATAACACTGTCCAATAAATTTTAATTTTTTCTCTAATAATCTGTAATACCCATTGGGTGATTCTTGTAGAGTATACTTTCCTAAACAGAATCTGTAACGGAAATTGCTCTAACATCCTCAGTTTTCGAAAAATATAAGTTTTTCTAAAAACGCATGTTTTCCTAGAACGAAGTATTACATAAAATGTAAGAATGTTAGGAGGCTCATTATTGTTTGATAAGTTAGGTGAAAATACCTGAGTTAATTAATGTCCATAATTATAATTATTTGTGTTTCTGAATAATTATAATTGGTTATCATATTTTAAAAATAAACCACCGAACGTGCTTTCCACGCATATTCTTGCATTTCTATAAAAATTTCTTCATTTGACATAATCCTTTTTTTTTATACAGAAAATAAATTAAGAAAAAAAAAGGATTATCTCTATTTTTTTCCTGCATTCTTCAACCATGACAATGGTCAGAATTTTCTCGCCACAACGATATATCCCCTTTCAGACTTTTAATCTTAAATTTATTTTCTATCATCGGTAACACAGCGCTACATAAATAAAAGCATTGTTGTGTCCATGGAAGTGTGCCTGCATCACGCAAAAGTAATTCTTTCTATTAACATAACCTTTAGTTGTAATTAAATAGTATAAGATTTAAGCCATTGTTTCTTCATCTTTTATTAGTGATAGCAAAGCCTGGTTGTAAAAAGACAATATTCTATTGAAATAAACAAGCATGTGCAACAGGAGAAAAGTATTGGGCTCATGGAATATCACCAGCATAGATCCATTAGATGTGACGAATTATTTTCTATAGCCAGAAAAAATTGAAGCAGTAATACAAATATGTAAGGTATGATATGTCTAGGTCGGCTAACCATATGACATACAAGATAGAAATCTTTGATGGTCAAATAAACATTGAGAAAATGGAAATGGCTTCAGCAGACAAAAAGGAATAAAATTAATTTGGGTGATAGTCTCTTATAACAAATAGATATAGAGAATATAGTGAGATTGAAAAGTATGTTGTATCCCTGATCTAAATAAATATTAATATCAGTGGTCAAAGTCAATGATCATCGCTAATGTGTTATATTTCAGAATGATGGAGCTGAAGTATATAAAGAAAAGAAAATGGTTTGAATGAAAGCAACGAGAAGAGTAAACACATATTATGTCAAATTAAGGAACAGGAAAGGGGCAACATATATATCAACAGAGAAGGATGTGTGACATGGATGTGCCAATATGAGGATCATTGAAGAGATGGAGAATGAAAAATTGGTAATAGTTTTGAAAGGTAAAGATAAATTAAACATAAAGTGTGAATGTTGCTTTAAGACAAATATCTGTAGAAATACGCAACAAAACTTTGAAACTATAAAAACAATGTCAAAAAAAGATAAAAGATACATCTTATATATTGATGATTATTTGAGAGTTATTATTTGTTTTGCTTTTATAGGAAAAGAGTCAGACAGCTGAGGCAATAAAAATATTGGTAACATTGAAAGAAAAACAAGCCGTCAAGAAGTTGAAAGGTACATATATGCTTAGAAATGAAGGTGAGTTTGTGAGAAAAGACAGTCCAGGTGTGTTTAAATCAAAAGAAAATAAAGCATGATTTGATTTCAGCCAGGATACCGCAGTGCAATGGAGTTGCTGAGAGAAAGAACAAATCCACCATAAAGATGATAAGGACACTTGTTTTTAAGTTGAAAATATGAAATTTTTAAAATTATTTTTAAAACACTTTTAATTTACTTGAATTTACTTAAATCTTTGAGATTTTGTACATAATGGTATTTCAATAAATGGTAATAAAGTATTAAAAATTGACTGATTTTCTCAAAAAATATTTTAAATGGTTTTTTGTATAAAAACTAATGATTTTATGTAAATGAAAGAAATGTGATATGTATAGAGCAAGATAGTACAGACTAAATAATAACTAATTTTTAATAAACAATAAATTAATCAATTGTGGACTTGATGGGGCTCCAACTTCTTTCGTATCAACAATATTATCACCAGCTTCATCATTATCATTATCATTATCATTATCATATTTATCATATTTTTTTTTGTATTGTTTATTATTTGGTCTGACGTGATTCGGATCTTTATTTATAATTAAAATACTTATAAACTGTACAATATATGAATATATTACAAAATAATTAAACTAAAACCTTTTTATTTATATGAACTCCACTTTGTCATTAAAGACGCTTACGTTGATTTTAATTTTATTCATTTCAAACGTTTTTGTCATGAATATTAAGCACTTTCTAATTTGTTATTTTTGTAATAGAAACATATTTGTATTTGCTTCATTGATATTAACAAATATAAGAGGCATCGCTTGATATTCTACATCGATACTTTAGTACATAGCTATTTCAAAGGCGCAGCATTTTCCCGCCACAAAAATACCGGTTACAACCAACTTCCAGTTGGCGGCAAAGCGGGTATACCGGTATCAAATGGTGGAACATTCTCGCGCGTGAAAAGAAAATATTAAAGATTTCCTCAAAACGTTTCATGAAGTAGTGATACCGGCGATTGTTGTTCTAATTGCTACAACTGAGGAAATATATGTTTATGGACAATAACGCGACGTGTCCGGTATTAGTTAGCGATAATGCAGGTGCAGGTTACGTTTGCAACATTATCCTAATATTTACAAACAGAACACAGCAGGAGTTTAAGAAATTGTGAAAAATTTACAAAGTTCAACATTAGTAACTGTGAACATTTCTTCGGTGGTAACATACTACATGTGGAAAAAGGTGATGTTACATAGTGTAAATCGTACAACGATACGTGTGGGAAATGAAGTGGTGTGAGTGCGGGATCCTATAATACTACCGCATTGTCCGTTATTATCGGCTGTACTAGATTCTAGACTTTGATTGTCCAGTAACATATTTGAATACTTTTACTCTGAATAGGCAGCTTGTTAACAATTTTTCCAATTTTTCTTCAATCTTGACGTTCAATTGCAAAGCAACTACGTATTATCGCTAATACATTCTAAACTTCGATTGTGGATTAGGATATTTCATTATTCCTGCATAGAATAGATTGTTTTCCAACCAATAGGGCAATTATTTTACGATTGAAGGTGCATATATGAAATAAAGTGACGGAAAAGCAAGTGCCTGTGCAATCTTGCTACAGAGTTTACTTTTCTCGCTTATATTTCTGAAATTATGCTTTTCGATTAGATTCCTTTCGTATAACAACGTTGAAGAGATTTTTCTCTGACTAGTCTACGGATATTCTTCCGATTTCGACAATTCTTTCCTAAATTTAGTGGAGAAAGTATATGTACCTGTCCGATCGTGCAGCGCAATTTACTTTTTTGGTTTCTTTTTCCATAATTAGGCTTTCGGCTCCGTTTTTCTTTATTTACCCGCGTAGAGTGAATTCTTCCTTAACGGAATTGGATATTTTTTTGCGTTTCGGGCGTGCGTTTTCGAAAAATAGTGCCGCGTGTGTAAGTGGGTGAAAGGTCGTACTGCGCAGTTTACTTTTTTGGTTTCTATCTTCAAAATTAGGCTTTTGGCTTCGGTTTTTTTTATTTATCCGCGTAGAGTGATCTCTTCCTTAAAGGGATTGGATATTTTTTTTGCGTTTCGGGCGTGCGTTTTCGAACAATAGTGCCGAATGTGTCAGTGGGTGACAGGTCGTGCTGCGCAGTTTACTTTTTTGCTTCCCATTTCCAAAATTAGGCTTTTGACTCCGGTTTTCCTTATTTATCCGCGTAGAATGATCTCTTCCTTAACGGGATTGGATATTTTTTTTGCGTTTTGAGCGTGCGTTTCTGAACAATAGTGCCGAATGTGTCAGTGGGTGACAGGTCGTGCTGCGCAGTTTACTTTTTTGCTTCCCATTTCCAAAATTAGGCTTTTGACTCCGGCTTTTTTTATTTATCCGCGTAGAGTGATCTCTTCCTAAACGGGATTGGATATTTTTTTTGCATTTCGATCATGCGTTTTCGAGAAATAGTGCCTAATGTGTTAGTGGGTGACAGGTCGTGCTGCGCAGTTTACTTTTTTCCTTTCTATTTCCAAAATTAGGCTTTTGACTCCGGTTTTCCTTATTTATCCGCGTAGAGTGATCTCTTCCTTAGCGGGATTGGATATTTTTTTTGCGTTCCGTTCATGCGTTTTCGAGAAATAGTGCCGAATGTGTCAGTGGCTGTCAAATCGTGCTGCGCAGTTTACTTTTCTAGTTTCTATCTTCAAATTTAGGCTTTTGAGTCAGGTTTTTTTTATTTATCCGCGTAGAGTGATCTCTTCCTTAATGGAATTGGATATTTTTTTTGCGTCTCGGGCGGGTGTTTTCGAACAATAGTGCCGAATGTGTCAGTGAGTGACAGGTCGTGCTGCGCAGTTTACTTTTTTGCTTCCCATTTCCAAAATTAGGCTTTTGACTCCGGTTTTCCTTATTTATCCGCGTAGAGTGATCTCTTCCTTAACGGGATTGGATATTTTTTTTGCGTTTCGAGCGTGCGTTTCTGAACAATAGTGCCGAATGTGTCAGTGGGTGACAGGTCGTGCTGCGCAGTTTACTTTTTTGCTTCCCATTTCCAAAATTAGGCTTTTGACTCTGGCTTTTTTTATTTATCCGCGTAGAGTGATCTCTTCCTTAACGGGATGGGATATTTTTTTTGCGTTTCGAGCGTGCGTTTCTGAACAATAGTGCCGAATGTGTCAGTGGGTGACAGGTCGTGCTGCGCAGTTTACTTTTTTGCTTCCCATTTCCAAAATTAGGCTTTTGACTCCGGCTTTTTTTATTTATCCGCGTAGAGTGATCTCTTCCTTAAAGGGATTGGATATTTTTTTTGCGTTCCGATCATGCGTTTTCGTGAAATAGTGCCGAATGTGTCAGTGGCTGTCAAATCGTGCTGCGCAGTTTACTTTTTTGGTTTCTATCTTCAAAATTAGGCTTTCGGCTTCGGTTTTTTTCATTTATCCGCGTAGTGTGAATTCTTCCTTAACGGAATTGGATATTTTTTTTGCGTTTCGAGCGTGCGTTTTCGAGAAATAGTGATAAATGTGTAAGTGGATGACAGACCGTGCGGCGCTGTTTGTTATCGCTTATGTTTTCGAAATTTTGTCATGAAATTATAAAAGTTAATAAATTTATTCAAAGAATTGTGTCTTTACGGGATTGGATATTTTTTTTGCATTTCGATCATGCGTTTTCGAGAAATAGTGCCAAATGTGTTAGTGGGTGACAGGTCGTGCTGCGCAGTTTACTTTTTTGCTTCCCATTTCCAAAATTAGGCTTTTGACTCTGGCTTTTTTTATTTATCCGCGTAGAGTGATCTCTTCCTTAAAGGGATTGGATATTTTTTTTGCGTT